GGAGAGGACCTCTTGGCTTCTTGCGGGGGGGGGTGGGGTGCTTTTGAAACAGAAATGCAAGATTCGGGGTCCTTCCCCCCCCTCCCCCGCCCTGGCTTTTACCTTTTCCCGCTGGTCCTAAGCAGGTCCATCAGTGGCTCTTAGCCACAAGGTATAGACAGGGACTCCAGGGCAAGGGATGCTCTGTGTTCTTGGTGCTTGGACTGAATGGGCCGTTGGCCTGATCCAACACTGGCTTCTCTTATGTTCTTATGTTAAGAGCAGAGGTATATCAGTGGCTGTTATCCACAAGGTATAGATAGGATCAGTCTGGGGCAAGGGATGCTCTGTATTCTTGGTGCTGGGGGGGCAACAGGGGGGGAGCTCCTAGTGTCCTGGCCCCACTGGTGGACCTCATGAGGGCACCTGGTGTTTCTGGCCACTGTGTGACACAGAGTGTTGGACTGGATGGACCATTGTCCGGATCCAGCATTGGCTTCTCTTATGTTCTTATGTCTGGGGCAAGTGATGCTCTGTCTTCTTGGTGCTTGGGGGGGGGGGGCTTCCGGTGTCCTGGCCCCACTGCTGGACGTCCTGATGGCACCTGGTACTTTTGGCCACTGTGTGACACACAGTGTTGGACTGGATGGGCCATTGGCCGGATCCAGCATTAGCTTCTCTTATGTTCTCATGTTAAGAGCCGAGGTCCATCAGTGGCCATTAGCCACAAGGTATAGATAGGAACTCTCGGTCTACGGCAACGGATGCTCTGGATTCTTGGTGCTTGGGGAGGGGGCAACAGGGAGAGGGGCTTCCAGTGTCCCGGCCCCGCTGGTGGACCTCCTGGTGGCACCTGGTATTTCTGGCCACTGTGTGACAGAAGAGTGTTGGACTGGATGGGCCACTGGCCTGATCCAGCATTGGCGTCTCTAATGGTCTTATGTTAAGTTGTGTCAAGGAGGATCCTGAATCCCTCAGCCCCTCTGCTGAGGACAGGACAGAGAGGCGGGGCTAAGGACACCAGGGAGCCCCTCCCAGCTTCTTCGTGCCCCTTCTGCCATGGGCTGGGAGGGATCCTCTCCCCTGCCCTTCCCTTTGGGTGCTGGAGCTGGCTTGGAGGCGGGTGTCTGTGTTTTGGCCCGTCGTGTGCCGGGGGAGGAGAGACGCCTCTGGTGCCAAGTCTCACGGCCCTTTCTCTGTCCTTCCCAGGCTGGGGACATCTGCCTCCCGGCCAGCCATGGCTCTGATTGAGGGCGTGGGGGACGAAGTGACCGTGCTCTTCGGCCTGCTGTCGGTGCTGCTGGTGTTGGTGCTGGCCTGGTTCTCGACGCACACCGTGGAGCGAGGGGACCCCGTCTTTGCCGCCACCCCGCCTCTGGCCCCAGGGCAGGCAGGAGAAGAGGGCCAGCAGGAGGACAGGCCAAGCGGGCAGGTGGCCGGGGCACGGCAGGTCAAGGAGGGAGAGCCTGCTTCAGATGGGCCCGGCAGCCCTTCGAGGGATCTGCGACACAGAACAAGCCTGAACTCCCCAGAGAGACCCACATCCCCCACAGGAGGCCCTGGCTCTGAGAACTTCCCCGCAGACGACACCATCATCTTGCGACTGAAGTTTGTGAACGACACAGAGCGCCTGGCCCGGGTGCGCCCCGAGGACACAATAGGAGGTCTTAAAAGGTGAGGCATTGCAGAGGTTTCCTTGGCTGGCAGTGGGGTTCCTGCAGCCCTTGCTGATGCCTGCATGGGCTCCAATAGCCTCATAGAAGGTTCAGAGCTGGAAGGGACCTTGCAGGTCATCCAGCCCAGCCCCCCCCCCCCCGGCACTCTGCAGGAGCACTTTAGCCGAAAGAGGGTCGTCCAGCCTCCTCCGCTTGAAAACGTCCAGCGAAGGAGCATCCACCCCCTCCCGAGGCAGACTGTCCCACTGCTCAACCACCACTCTGACAGTTAAGTTACTGGTTACCGCCCCCCATTGCTATTCCGGGCCTCTCTTCCCCCAGACTCCGTTGTGTATCCCCCCCCCTTTTCCCTGCCACACCCACTCCCTGGTTCTCTTGGCCTACACTTGAATAGGCCCTTGCACCCAAAGAGACCTTTACACTCCAGGCAGCTAATATTGGCAGTTTTTGGCCCTGCCTGTCCTTCCCTCGTCCTCCAAGCTAAAACGCAGCCTCTCTCATCAGATGTTCCCTGGTGCCCCTGCTGCACACTCTGGATACCGTGGAGTGTTGCAGGGTTAACAGTTCTATTGTTAATAACAGTTTCTGCTGATTACCTGGCTCAGGTGTTAGATTAATGGGCCAGCATCTTCCTGGATCCCCTCTGGACTCCTTTTTAAAAATTGGGGTGACGTTTGCTATTTCCCAGTCATCCTGCACAGAGGCCGGTTTTACAAGTTGCCTATACTGGTCAGGAGATCAGCAATTCCATATCTGAGTTCCTTAAGAACTCTTGGAATATATGCCCTCTGGACCCAGACACTTGCTAGCGTCCAGTGTGCGTAGTAAGTCCTAGAACTTATTCTCTTGTCACCTCTGTTTGATCCCAATTTTTTCAGACATCCTTCTCCAAAACAGGAGCCCCTGTGTGGGACTGTGCCCCAGATTTTCCTCAGCGGAAACAGATGCAAAGAACTTACTCGGTTTCTCTGCCTTCTCCCTGTCTTCCTTTCATTCCTTTGCCATCCAAAGATCCAGCTGCCTCCCTCTGGACAGTTTCCTTCTCCTGCTATACTTGTCTTGATGCTGCAGCACCTGCTCCTTTTGCTCACCTGAGTGTCACCTTATATTTGATGTGTCAGAACCTGTGATATTTTTTGAAATGTGGTGATCCAAACAACATACAATATTCCAATTCAGTATATATAAAGTCATTACAGTTTTGTCTCCAGTCCCCTTTCATCATCATCATCATTTGCCTTTTTTATTGCTGCTGCTCCCAGAACTGCCATTTCAGTTGAGCTATCCACCCTAATCCCCTTCCTGGTCTTTCCACCGCTTCAAACCCAGCTGGTACACACATGCAGGATCAGGAACTTTTGTTCTTGTTGCTGTTGTTGCCAGTGGTAGAGTCCTGATAGCAACTGATCCCTATTACTGTTTACTGCAGCTGTACCTGGTAGTCTGGGCCTGGCAGCTCTCTGGACGTTGAGTTAGTTGCCAGGTTCGGCCACCACTTTGCCCTTAGATTCTGGGGTTGGAAGTGGGATTGGAACCCTAACAGGGCTGTAATGCAGACATGAAGTCTGTGAAGCGAAGCAGAGGGCGGGCCGGAGAAGGGAAGCTGCAGTGTGACCAGCTAGGAAAGAGGATGTAGCAAAGCCTCCGGGCCAAGGTTGGGAAGGTGGCAGAGGCCGATGGTGGAGTGTAGAGGGCCAGCATGGTGTCATCAAGAGTGGTGGCCTCTCATGTGGAGAACCAGGTTTGAGTCCCCACTCCTCCTCCTCCTCCACCTGAAGCTTGCTGGGTGGCCTTGGGCCTGTCACTGTCCTCTCAGAGAACTTTCTCCGCCCTGCCTACCCTACAAGGTGCCTGTTGTGGGGCGAGGAAGGGAAGGCGAGTGTAAGCCCCTTTGAGACTCCTTAAGGTAGAGGGAAAGGGGATATAAAAACCCACCCTTCTTCATGGCACGGCCAGCTGTATGGAGCCTGGGTGAAGGGTGAGGGGCTTCCGCTTACCCACCCTCCCTCCACAAAAGGCATTCTGGCCAGGTAAACGTTGCTCTCATTCAGTGGGCCACTTCGCCCTGCAGGGTGATCGGGTCTAGAAAAGCTTCTGCTCTAGTGGAATAGTTTTCTGTGAGTTGCCAGGAGAGTCCAGAAGGAGACCACTGATGGCCTTTCCTGGTTGCCGTCAGATACTGTCGCTCGAGGATACTGGTGCCAAATGCCCCCCCCCCCCAGCACCCTTGCATCACAGGAATGTCTGTCAGGAAGGTGGCCAGAGGCCTGCCATTGGTGCACTCCAGATGGATCACTGTGTGAAGTCTTTTTCTTTCTGGAGAAAAAGGAATAAAAGTATTCTAAATACTGGCAAATAACTACAGCAAACCCAAGCAGTCGTTTACAGCCCCTTGAAAGGTCGGTTCTGGTGCTAGATTTCATCGTAGCCTGGCCCTCTCGCGTGCCATGGCCTCAGGCCCGAGGTCCTGTCCTGTTGAGGCCGTGTTTTCTTTTTGTTGTTCAGTCACACAGTCAAGTCTGTGTTTTCTTTACTGGGAACTAACTGCTTAGAGTCTCTGGCAATGCTCCTAAGCTGTGGAGTCTTGTGAGCAGAAATTACTACTTTGTGAGCCACTAGCATTAAACTTGTGAGCAAGCAATTTGGCTGCTGCATAAATTAGTTTGCTCTGGAGCCACCCTTCCTGAGCCAAGACAAAAATGTGTGAGCCGGAGGCTAAAAAACTGTCAGCTAGCTCGCACAAACTCAGCTTAGAGGGAACACTGGTCTCTGGTCTGATGGGTTCGAAAGTTTGGAGTGGTGGAGTTCTGCTGTAGGCCCTAGTTGAGGACTTGTGTGGTACAGCTGCCTGGGAGCCTTCCTGCATCAGAATCCATCTAGTCACACAGTGGCCAAATCAGTTGCTTTTGGTGTAGTGGTTAAGTGCGCGGACTCTAATCTGGGAGAACCGGGTTTGATTCCCCACTCCTCCTCCACTTGCACCTGGCTGGATGGCCTTGGGCAAGCCGTAGTTCTGATAAGAGCTGTCCTTGGACAAAGAGCATTTTCTGTCAGAGCTCTCTCAGCCCCACCCGCCTCACAGGTTGCCTGTCTGTTGTGGGGAGGGGGAGGGAGAGGAGTTTGTAAGCCGTTCTGAGACTCCTTTGGGTAGTGAAGGGTGGGGGATAAATCCATTCTCCTCTTCTTCTTAGAGGGCCAATGGGCAGGGCATAAAGGCCAAGGTCTCCCCTGCTGTTGCCTCCTGGCTTGCTGCCTCTGAATATGGAGGCTCCTCTGAGTCACCATGGGTAGAAGCCACCAAAGGACCTCTCCCCCGTGAATCTGCCTCGTCTCCTTTTGAAGCCAGTATTGCTCATGAACAGCCCTGGTGACGAACACAGTTTTTATTACTCCTTGGGTCTAAAGACGTGCTTCCTTTTGCCTTCCTTGACTCTCTTGCCTGCCTGCCTCACTGGGTGCCTCGTTCTCTTCCCCCTCGCCCAGGGCCCACTTCCCAGGCCAGGAGCAGCTGGTGCGCCTGATCTACCAGGGACAATTGCTTCGGGACGATTCGCAGACCCTGAGCGCCCTGCACCTCACCCACCACAGCGTGGTGCACTGCCACATCCTGCAGCACCGGTCGCCGTCGGTGCCCAACAGCACTCATGCCAACGCCAGCAATGTGGATGCCGCACACGCCGCCCTCAATGTGGGCAGCCTGATGGTGCCGCTGTTTGTGCTGATGCTGGGTGCCCTCTGGTACTTCCAGATGCAGTACCGTCACGTTTTCACGGCGACCGCCACCACCTGCCTGGCGGGGCTCACCCTCGTCTTCAGTTTCGTGGCCTTTGCTGTGTACCGAAGATAGTGCCTGGCCTGGGGGGCGGGGGGAGGACAGAACGCTCCGTCTCCACCCCCGCCCCCATCTGGGAAAGTGTGCTGGCCGGCTTGGGGGGCACATGGCTTCCGTCGGACTCTGGTGCCCCTTCGCCTGGGGAACGTGGGTGGCCTGGCCAAGCCCAGGGACCTCAGGGGGGGTGGGGGTGCGTGAGCCGGCCAGTGGTGGGGGTCTCAGGTGGAGTCCTGCTCCAAAGTGCTGCGCCGGCCAGGAGTGGAGAGGAGCCACGTGGGGGTGGGTGGGGGCGGCAGTGAAGTGCCCCTGAGCTGGGAAATGCATATTTTAACATTAAAGAAAGGCAACTGTGAAGGAAAAGAAGTGGCTCGTGTGGGTTTGTGGTGCGTGTGTGTGTGCGGGGGGGCTCGGTGGCCTGTCCGGAGAGTCGTCCCACGGGGGGGGGGGGGGGGGGGGGGGGGGCTG